AGTGTAAATAGGCCGAAAGTTAAATCTTGCCCGTGCCTATTTAGTTGAACTCGAACATCCTTAACGACTCTCCCCTCGGCCACGTGGAGAGCTGCTCCCGACCACGTAGGCACCTGCTACGTTTAAGGTCGGTTTGCCACCTAACGTCATAAGGTGGCACCAGCTTGGTTCTTCCCCTATATATACTCAGGCGCATTCTCACAACAAGGTACAATCTTTTGATCTAGCTCTCTCTTTTTCTCTCTAAACACCTTCTCTCTTTTCATTCTTGCTTCCCCAGGTTACTGACTTTAGCATCGGAGCGGTTATTCCCGGATAACCCCCCCGGGTTAGTTAATCTGTGCTGACTGTGCAGGCAGTGAATTGGACGGTAAACCTTTACCAACCCCAGAACATCACGGTATTGGAGCTCATCCGGAACATTTGCATATATTAGTATTTAAGTCAATTATTTTAACAATTAAACTTATTTTAGCCCCGTCTTACTTTTTGCAAACAAAAATCTATAAACTACATAAAATAGTCTATTAATTATATGTTTCTAGTCTGCAAATTTATAGAGTTATGGTAGTATTTCATTTGTTTCATAAAAATTGCGGCTATTTAACTTTTAGTTGGAGCAGGAATTAATAGCATAATTTTAAAATAGCATAATTTCCACGATAAAAAAAATATCACCTGAATTTCCACTCCTTTCTGAAGAATTAATAGCATAATTTAAAATAGCAGCTTTAATTTGTAATAAAAAAAAAAGGCGAAGCTGGGCCAACTAATTCATTGCACTTTCCTGCATTTCAATTGAAACGCGTCTCCACTTTTTTAGTCATGCAAATATAGTTACTCCAAAATGTTATCCACTTCCCAACTACTATCAATATCATTGTTAAATTATTGGGATTTTACATGTTTGGTAAAATAAGGGTGTGTTCGGCACTAGATTTTGAGTAACTTTTAGTGTTTTGACTTAGTCAAATTACTACTTAACAAAAAATATGAGTGTAGGGTAACTTTTAACGATGAATGTAAGCTTTTTATGAAAAGTTAAAAATATTAACTTTTGAAGTTAGAGAGGTATTTGTTGAAAATTTAATCTATAATTTAAATTGATTATCAGTATATGTCACGAGTCATATGAATAGTAATAATAATAAAGCTAAATTTTAGCCCCTAGCTAATTTAAACAAATTTATTGATAAAATTCATTTATAAACAAATGAGAAATTAGTCAATTACATTCTACCATGGAGGAAAATTAATGAAGTATAGTAAAACTATAAGGATAAATTTTAGTACTTCATATAATCAGTTAGTCACAACATATAGTGCCACATAAATCATAATTATACACATTTTCATATATATAATTTTGACTTGGCTTCATTCACTTTATTTTAAGGGGCCGTTTGGTTCACACGGGGTAATCGGAATGGAATGAACAAAGGAAAAGACAAGGAATGGAATGAAAATACCTAAAATTTGGGGTGTTGTTTGTTTTAAAATCAAAGGGAATGAGACCCACTAGTCCCACCACCACCAAACCACTCTCCAACGTTTCCACCACCGAACCACCACCAAACCACTTGCCGCACCTCCCTTCTCTGGCCATCCCGCCCCTCGCAATCAGCCACCTTCTCCAACCACCCAACCACCAAAACGCCCTAATTTTTTCCTGTTTTCCACCTACTCTAGCCACCTCACCCTAGCCGTTGTTGCTCGCTGCTGCTGCCGCACCTCCCCTGTCGGTCGCTAAAACCTCATAGCTCCCTCACGGCGAGATCCATCCCGAGTCCCGACACCCCCCAGCTCCGATCCACCACCAAATTCCGCCCCCCAAAACCACTAATAACCCCAACAAAATTACCCAAATTAATCCGATTCGAACCTAAATCAAACACGGGTAGCGGGAATAGGGTGGTTTGAAGAGGTTTTCGGCGGTTTTGGGAGGATTTTCGAGGGGTTTTTGGCGGTTTCAAGGTGGTGGATGTGGTGGCTGCCCATTTTACGGGAAGGGGTTGCAGTTTTTTAGGTTTTAGCGGCGGTGGGAAGAGTTACGGGGGAGGGTATGGCTTTTCGGGGGGAGAGGTGGCCGGCGATGGGTGGGGGAGGTGCGGCGAAGGGTTGCGGGTGCGGCGAAGGGTTGCGGGTGAGGCGGTGGTGCAATGGTGCAGTTTTCCGGTGGCATGGGTAGGTGTGTTGGTGGTGTGTTGGTGGCAAGGGAATGGGAATGGAAATACCTTGGGGGGAATCAATTTAGAAGGAATTGGGGGAATGGAGAGGGTAAAGGGAATGAGAAAAAAGGTCTAACAAACACCAACAAAGGGAATGAAAGAAGTTGATTCTCATTCCCTTTGATGAAGACCCCCAACCAAACGGCACCTAAATGTACAATATAATTGTATTACATTAGTAATAAATACCAAATAAAAGCAGATAAAAAATTCAAAATCAATGACCTAGCTTAGGCAGAATTTTAAATACCACATCCAACCAACCGGATGAGGTAGCAAGATTAGGCTGATTAGCAACCACAAGAGATTTGTATTAGTAATTCTAATAAAACCTCACTCCAATTAAAAAGAAACTGATTGCCTTTCTATTTTAGTTTCGGCCCATTTTATTGATCATAAATGCTTATAAATTCAAGCTCATTTTGCTCTCTATTTTTTATTATATTATGGGTACAAATTATTCACTTGATTTCACTTATCAAACTTAACAATATCGCAAACGGATGACTTTGTGTTTTTAAAAAATAAGCTCTAACTACCAATTTAATGTAAATTTTTAAAAATGTATTATAAAATATCCCCACTCACCTAGGGTGAGAATCAAACATTGCACCTCCGAGTTTCCGACATATGTGTAAGGATCGAATGAGCGCCTCCAACCATTAAGCCAACCTTGATTATCTAAGGTAAATCACCCATTAATGTACTATGAATTGTAATAAATTTAAACACTTAATAATGAATATACCTCAGGATAAATGTTTACATGATATAGTTTTAATGTAAAGCTGCATCATAGTCATTTATTTATCTTATTTCAGTACACAATTTTAATTTAATTCATTTATGGTCATTTTTGAAATGAAAAATATTTTGAAAAGCCAGGAAATGTATATGTGAATATATGACTAGATGAGATTATGAGAAACATGGTGAAGCCACATGTTAGGAGAGAAAAAAGAATAAGAAGCTCTAAAAGTGGGCCCACAAAAGAAGTTTGGGCCAGATTTATATGAAGATTGGGCCCCACTTATTCAATTAACAACGGCTTCAATGCTGTTAAGCGCGTCTTAAGCCCAGCCTTTATTCATCCCAGCTGTCTTATTTTCAGTTGTATTCCATGATTTTCTCCTGTCTCTTTAATAATTTAGACCTATAAATAACAAGTATTAGTGTATTCTCTTTTTCTTATTTAATTTTTATTAACCTAAACAATGTTATAGGGATAGCTGAAGTGGTTACAATTTCCCTTTCAATTCCAGGAAATTCTGGGATCAATTCTTACCTCCACCCTTGTGGCTCCCTAAACACCAAAAAAAAAAATAGTGATTATATGCATGTATCATATGCCTACAAAAAAGAAAATATGCATGTAATATGGTACAAAGTATCAATTTTGTGGAACTGAATAAATATAGATAGGTTGGATAGTTAGATTTTGATGAGATTTATGATTATTTCATTTTTGTAATTTAAATTCAAAATTTACACATTGTATTCTGGAGATGATTTAAGAGATATAGTTATGTTTAAGATATTATGTCATAGTAAGGAATTCAAAGAGTCATATAATATAGGCATAATCAAAGACACTATATTCAGTTTAAGTAAACTTTTAAAATTTGAGTAAACTTTTACCTAATTTATATACTAATAGACTATATTTGAATTTTTCTAATCTAATTCGAACTAGTCTAATTTTAAAATTTGAGTAAACTTTTACCTTATTTATATACTAATCTGTAAAATAACATATCAAATTAGATGTCACTATTAGATTTATAATTGCATAATTCTTTTAAAATAGAAATTAAAATATTTACCTAAAACTTAAAAAAAAAAAAAAAAAAGCCGTCAAGTAAGTCATAATGTCAATATGTCATCTCTAGAAAAGTCGTTACTCATAGGCTCATAGCATATACTGTACTCGTATTTCGTATGAAGTGAAGTAATATAAATACGTACATATGCAATGAGTATTTCAACCAATGATTGACCCTTAAAGATATGGGTCCACATTTCATAATATCGTTGTTTGAAATCTGATTACTAATATAAATGGATGAAAAATACTCTCCACAAGCTTCTACAGTTGTTACTTGTTAGCTACACAATTCTGGATTCAGATCTTCTAAAATCTAAACCTAATCAGGAAGAATCTAAGCATCTATCTTTATTTAAATTTTTTGGTTAATCTAAGTCTTTAATTACTTGGTCATACTTGTATTCAGATTTTAATAGTTATAAATATATTCCATCTGTCCAAAATTAAATCATATTAATGTAACAACTTACTTAAACTAACAAAAGTTGTATAACTAATTGATACAATTGATTGATTCATACATTTCATCTATTTCATTTCATTGCCATATTACTAATTTAAATTACATTATTAAAATCAAAATCTTAAAGAGTGAAGATACTATCTGATGGTTTGTCATTGATTTTACCATCACAAAACTTCCTCACAAGAGTCATTGAGCTTGTATGATTGAATATAAATAATTGAAAAACTATTACAACAATTAAGTGAAATTGTGTAGTATGATTTGATTATAAATAACTGAGAAAAAAAAGGAGAAAAAAAGAAAATGGATACCATAAAAATATTTTTCTCAAAATTTAATTATATTTACATTGGAATTTCCACAAGGAAAAAAATAAACTTCTAGGAATAATTAGAAAACTACTCATGTTAGAGGAAAGTTCCAAAAGTCAAACAATAAAGGGTTAAAAAATCCTTAAAAAAGCTTATTCAATTTGTGAGTAGCATATGATTGCGTCGCATATGATTTGACAAAATTTCAGCCGTAAAGTTCATTGGACATAGTGCTGAAACATGAGTAAATACAAGTATACAACACCAACTTCAACAAAATCTGTTTCATAAAAAGGTTACAATACAAATTCATGTCGATATTCCCAGGAGAATCATATATATTCACAATAACTAGATGAGCTCAGTTTATCATACCATCATTCATATGGCATCATTAAAAAACCATTTACTTCTAATAACAAAAATGATTAATTTGTCAAAAAAAAAAAAAAAAAAAAATTGATTAAATCAAAGGTTTCATCATATATTTATATGATCATGATTCATGAATCATATAATCATGCCTACATCAGAGTCGAATGATATGTAGCCATTCGCCTCCTGATATCTGCTGTCACAAGAATATTTCCATTAGAAAACTGCAAAAACGCTTAATTAAGGCATTCTTCAGTTCAGACAAGTAAAACAATATCTTTAGCATGTTAAATACGAAGTACTACTCTAGATGCATACTTCAAATTTTCAATAACCCAAAAATAATACAACAGAGCTTTCAAAGGCCAGCACCTAGAACAAAACAAAAAAATCTTTTTCCTCGGATGTCATCAATCAGTTCAGAATATTGGATTATAGCGAAGTTTCAGAAGGGATATATCATCAAAGTTCATAAGATAAGGCCAACAGAAGGAGAACTACTACTTTGATTGTAGATTATCTGAAATGATGACATAAAAGAGGATTAAAAAGATGTTAGGATTGGTAATAAAGTGACAAGGACAGTTTGACAAAGTATTGTTCTTCCTAGAAACTTCATTATCGATTTTGAAAGTGTGTGTGTGTGTAATCTGTCTTCATCATGCATCACTCAAAAACCCCCCACTTGATGCTGCCTACCAATTTAAATTCATTACCTCCATGATCTGGCAAACATCAGCACGAATAAAAGTTGCTATTGTAAGAGACTAAGAGACCTGGATAATTTTGGTTTTGACAAAGATACCAATGCTTAGAGAAGTGCTTAATTACTATATACTGAGAATAAAATAATCATGAAGTTTGGAATTTTGTACTCTGTATTTCTTAATCCGAGGACGGAGGTTCCTTTTGCCATCATTCTGTTGAACAAGAAAAGGCCATCTTTGTGCAGAAACAGATATAACAAAATAAAAAGATACATGAATAAATCAATCAATGTATTTGTATTGCTTAAGTTATCTTAATACAAATAAGAGCAGATAGCTGCATTCTGTCAGTATGACTATTTGCCTACGATCTTGACTAAACTTGTATAACAATACAGAAGCCAAAATTCTATTCCCTCATATGGTAACAGGTCAGATAAAATTCATTTTTTGTACTTCATATTGGTTCACATCCAAATAAAAAGCTTTTCTATTCTATGTAAGAAAATTAACTGTTCAGGGCTACTGGGAGTATGACTGATAGAAGTGGTAAGCATGTCACAATAGATTGTTTCATGAGAAAGGAACAAAGAACTAGGAGCTGCCTAATTAATGCCAAAAGGTAACATCATATATGCCCAAATGAACATACGGATTATATTGAAAGCATTTTTAGATCTTAACCAGCACTTCAAAAATTTAAACCTAGTAAGCAAATCAAATAATTAAGGATGATTAAAGATCAATCAATCCACTCAAAGGAAGAGACAATTGGCTTACAAAAGTTACAATTGAAGAGCGGTCACCCATTACTCTCACTGTTCTTCATAGTATGGTGGTGTAGACTGTACACACATTTCATTGTCTTCTTCATCCTCATCCTCATCTGCATCTACCCAATTCCTAGGATGGCGTTGAGAAAAGCCTTCCTCCTTTTCTTGCAACCCTGCAAGAATGATTATATTCAAACATTTTGATACATGAATTTAGTTTCGAATTGCAACATTTAAAGCATTTATATACCTTGATGCGCCACCCGTTGAACAGTTTCCATATGATGAGAGCTTAAAGGCTTAATTAAGAAAATCCAATCAAGATCTTTGGAACAAACTAAATAATTTCAACCTTTTTAAACATCATGATATACTCCCATGAGGGGTTTTAAAGAGCTAATAGCTAGATTAACAGTCATGCACTCAACAAAATTTCCTACCCACTGTTGGCTAAAATAGCTGTAGGTAGTTGAAAGCAAAATAGCAGCTTGTTGAGAAACGAAAGTTCCCCAGTTAGTTAAACAAATTAGATGTTCTTGGGAAAGCTCAATGTTGAATCAGCTTGAAAGTTTGTTATAACACAAAAGAAAAAATTCTAAAAAAATTTCAAATACAGTGTTATATACAATTGTAGATTATTTCAAAACTAGTCAAACAGCTAGCTCATATTTTTTGAAGCTGTTTGCTGAGCATAAACAACATACACACTAGCCCAAAAGTTAGTTAACTGATTCAACAGATGCAGTATTACATACCATATCAATAAGCTGTTGTATCAGGCTTGCTGAATAGACCTAACTGACTCTAATACATAAGTGATGAAAATTGGAACAACATGCCAGTTAATTAACTAATTCTTTAGAAATGATACCACACGTTGTTTATAGTCATGCATACATACAATCAGCTCAAGTGACTCATTTCCCAGCAATTAGTGGTGAAAATTAAACATAAAGCAAATGGAGAATCAAAGAAACCAGAAGGTATAATATTCAAAGGTATGGGAGTAGTGCAAAGGATACGAATTTGGACCACCAGCGGCATTTTCTCCTTCAGGGGGATGCTCTGAAATTTGCATTTCATCAAACTTTTGAAATTCCCTCTGCTCATTGGAAGTGGTGTTTCCTTCACCTTGAACCGGCCTACTTCCACTGCCACCGACAGATTTGGGACCACTTGCTGTTTTGTTAACAACCAAGTTACTGTCACTGATTTTTTTTTCTTTATAATTTTAATTTTTAAATATTTAGGTTCCAAGGGTGAATCAACATATACCTGAAAGGTCAGACCATATTTTAGTATGCTCAGATGCATGAGCAGAGGCCTGTACCCTTGATCTTTCTTGCTGAGCTTCTGGTCCTGTCTCATTATTAGCCCTTCCGTTCAAGGCTCCATCTGATGGAACAGGGCCAGTTGGATTTCCTTCACGCAGCTGTGATGTAAGCATTGTTGCAAGAACAAGCTTGGCATCAAAGTTTGAAGTAGATCCATCATCATCCAAACCAAATTTGGGTGTCATGAGAATAGGCCTGTTTCATCAGCAGTTTCACCAATCATTTCACATTCATCTTTACAGACTACAAGAGTCAATGCAATTTTCAAAGAGACTAATAAATGACATATTAATAGTGTAATAAAATATTAATATCTGCACATCATGTGCTAAGAAGCCTTCAGCCCTTCAGTTGATAAATCAAAACCATATAAAATCATAAAGTATTCATTTACCATAGCATCTTAAAGACTAAAAATATCATATCAAATTGAGCAAATATTATCTTTGAGTACAAAAGTGTGTACTTTAAAATTATGAAGTAATATATACTGTTTGAATTCTCCTGTATCATCTGGAACAGTGATAAACTTAACAGATAGGAAAGCTTACTCGCCAGCCTTGTCAAAAAACAAGTGGATATCAACTTCGCAGGCCTCACAAAAGGAAAGAAATGCCTGAAATTGGATGTTGAGAGAAATTCTCAGTTACTGATAGAATGATATACAAGAGTCAAATGTAACAATATAAATCACTATTATATAGGTCAGTACTGATTGCACATGTATGAATGTACGATGTACCTTTAACTCCTTAACACCAAACGTAACATCTACCGGATTTCCAGTGTGAGCATATTGCAGGAATTCTTCCACTGGATCTATCCAAAGCTGAGTGTGTAAGGATGAACCACTATCTGCATTTTAGCAGATTAAACATTAAAAACACAAAGAATTTCAGATAATAATAAGATCATCTTTGAAAACTCGAATGTTTGAAGAAATACCATTTGTAGGGTCAATGTAGCTCCGAAGTTCTACAGCCTTCCCACCAATCTCACTTTCAGCTTCTGAAGGAATAGAGGATGGTTCGGTAGCAATAATGGTGATCTCATGAAGAGAAGACTGAAAATTAGAGAGCAATCTGTTGAGATCATGGGGCCTAACGACAAAGCTACTAGTGAATCTTCCCCTGTCGAGAGACAAATGCTGAATATCGGGTTCCACATTACAGTTGATCCAATAGGTTTTTCTCATGCCTACCCAATTCCACAGAAGAAAAAAGGAGTAAGAATAATATCCCACATTATCTACAGCATAATCATCATCAATGTTACATAAAATCGATTACCATTAACACAATCTAATGTCCACTTGACTTTAGCTGCATCAGCATCCAATAAATGCACCTTCAAATGATCAATGTTTGAAAGAGGAGTCCTTAAGACAGCACACACAGCCTAACAATATCGAAATTAAAAACATCATTCGCGTAAATCAAAAAGTTATATTATGTTTTTATAATGACTTTTCCTCATTGTCCATAATTAAACCATTCAAGGTACTACCTTCAAGAGGATGCTAAACTGAACTTGCTGATTACCAGGAACCGAGCAAACATCAAAGAAATCGGGTTTAAACGATATCGATTGATAGGCAGAACGGGATGCATTAAGAGTGTAGAAAGCAAGCTGCATTCAGATAAATCCAATCAACAAATCATTCACATAGAAATCAATCCTCAATCAATACTAATCAAAATTTCCAACAGACAGCACAATAAGCAACAAATGAACAAAACCTTAATTAAAAGGTGTTACTTTCTACACTGATCGAATATACTGATAATTAGACGCTAATTCAGATGAATTCCAACAAAAAACTTCACTAATCAAAATTACAGGAATTTTTTTTCTGAGCAAAACCCTAGAAACATATATTTGAAAAAATTGATTACAAAATAGGAAATTGGAGATTAAAGTGAAAGAACCTGAGAAGAAGAAGCTTGAATGGCGAGTTCGTTGCCGATTTTAGCAAGGCAGTTGATGGAGCGAGCAAAGGTTTTGAGTGCGTTCCCGCTAACACTCACCTCCATTTTCTCTCTCCTCAAGTTTCTCTGTGTTCTTCTTGGCGGGAAAAGCTACGTTCCTACGTATACCTTTTTATTTCCCTATTAAACATGTCTTTTAGTGAGGAAGTTTGAATTTGATGATTAATTTTTTTGAATTAGAAAGACTTGTCCACTCAAGAATTAAGATCAATCGACCACGAAATATACTAGCCATGTGTTAACTATTAAAAAGTTACATTTTACATGCCGAGATCAATAGAACACATTAAAAAGGAAATTCCTTAAATGAGTTCCCTAAGATTTGATTCCTAAACCTCAAAGATATGAGATGAAAGCAATGTCACTACTTTATTTAGTTTTTTTTTATTTTTTTTAAAAACCATGTCACTACTTCATCAGCTCTACCTCTCCATACCATAGGTGAATTATTTTGGACTAATATTACATGTACGGATGTACCCATGCAATACATGGGCGGAGCTAGAAGGGGACATGTGGGGACACTTGTCCCCCCATTTTCAAAAAAAAAATTTAAAAAAAAAAAATTAAAGAAAAAAAATAAAAAAAAAAAAAACTGAAGTGAGACAGAAAGAAGAAGAAAAGAAATTGCAAAACTAAACCCTAACTTTCACAATTCTCAATTTCTCTCTCTTCGAAGTTCGAAAGTTGGAGACTTAGAGTTCTCAGGCAGTCAGGCTCGTCGGCGGCACTTCGTTGGTTCGTTCGCGTCTTCTCCCGTCCAGTGGCGGTGTCGGGTGTCTTGCTGTCTTCGGTCTTCCGCCCTTTATTGGCTCCACCCCTGCTCCCGTCGCCGGTTCTGTTCACCCAAATCACCAGTTCGCGACTTGGAGTTCGACAGACGACAGTTCGTGTCGCCGGTGTGCGGTGTCGGTGTTGGTGGCGGGTGTCTTGCTGTCTTCGGTCTTCCGGTCTTCGCTAGACCCAATTCACCCAAATCAATGGAGGTATGTAAATCTGAATTTCAACTTATTACTTGTTTAATTGATGAAATTGTTGTATATATCAACTTATTACTTGTTAGTCTTTTTTAATTTCGATTGAGAATTATTGTGGATTTGACGATTTTGTCATTTGTGGGTATTGAAGACGAATTTCAACTTATTACTTGTTTAATTGATGAAATTGTTGTATATATCAACTTGTTTAATTTCGATTGAGAATGATTGTGGATTTGTCATTTGTTGATTTGTGGGTATTGAAGTTTTGAACTTTGAAGTATTGAACTTATTGAAAATTGAATTGTTTAATCTCTGAATTATTGGTATTTAATTTTTGAGAATTTAAATTATTGAAATGTATAGTTGAATTAGAAATTTAGAAATTAGAATCTTAGGTTTTGTTATTATGTAATGATGTGGATTGTGGAAATTGATATATAATTTTCAATTTAATTAGGAAATGTCAAAAGATTCACCAAATTCAAACAAATCCAAGGCAACTAAACAACCCGATCTTCGACAATTCTTGTTTAAAAGAACGAAACTCAATAAAAATGGGTCCAACGAAAATGAGTCCAATACTTAGAGGAAGATTCGGTGTACGATTTTGTCCCCCCAAGTTGAAAATCCTGGCTCCGCCACTGATGCAATAAGATATAGCATTGAAATTATTTGTAACAAAAAAAGTATCCGACTATAGTACCATACCTGAATTGAATTTAATTTTGGACTAATGTTACATGCACACATCAATACAATATGGATTGAAAATTTATTTCAAGTGTTCAACATAAAATACAAAGTTGCAATGTCAAAACTTTATACTGGTATTAAAAATAATTATAGCCTTATAGGTCATAGTCATATCATTCAATAATTGAATGTCAATTTACAATACAAATGCAATTCTAGTATTCTACCAAAATTTTACCCTTTCAACGACTTAGCATAAGACATACAAGTAGTAGTTAAATCTGTTTTTTAATTCATGGATCAGAAGAAGTGCAAGATTTTCAACAAAAAATGCAGTCATCTGTTCAAGTTCACACAAATTGCTTCACCTAAGTCTTCAACAGTCTAACACTATATACTACGAGTATGTTATTGCTAGCATTACTCCAAGGTTGTGTTGCCTCTTTACAAGCATGATAAGTTGATCACTGGAATTTCTGTGCCTTCCCATATCTGTTGTCATACTGCGCGAGTAAGCAAAAACGATTCTCAAGTATGATCCTCAGTTTGTGAATGATGTTTTAATCCCATGATAACATCATTTATTTCAACCCACTTAGGATGTAATCTGTCTTCTACGAAGAACTCATGAACCGTGCTATTCACTTCAATTGAACTACAACCTGGAGTTTTCTTCTCAGATATACTTTCACGGATCTTCTTCCTTAAACCCTCCACTAAATTCCAGTCACTTTTAGCCACGAAAATGTTTGATAAAAGCACATAAGCTCCCCCATCCTCTGAAGCTAACTGACAGAGAACGCTAACTATGTCATCATCAATATCCATATAACCATGTATCCTGCAGGCATTCAGGAAAGCTCCCCAAATGACTATATTTGGTTTCATGGGCATGCTTTTGATAAGCTCCTTAGCTTCTTTCACTAGCCCCCCTCGGCCAAGGATGTCCACCATGCACCCATAATGCTCAATCTTCGGTGTAATATTAAACTCTCTCTGCATCCTGTTAAATTGCTCCTTCCCCTCATCAATCGCGCCAACATGACTACAAGCTGATAACACAGCAACAAAAGTGACATCATTTGGTGCTACACCATAAGACTTCATTTCCCTGAAAAGCTCCAATGCTGACAAACCATAGCCATGGTCTGAGAGCCCTGATAACAACGCATTCCAAGTGCATATATTCCTATAGGTCATATCGCAAAATAGCTGCATAGCTACATCAATACCACCACATTTAGCATACATGTCTACAAGCGCGGTACCCAAATGTACATCAGTAGTAAGTTTATGCCGAATAATGTGAGAATGAATCCATTTTCCCATATCCAATGCTCCCATTTGAGCACAAGCTGATAGAGCAGTAGTAATTGTCACGCTATCCGGTTTGATCCCTACAAAATGCATTTCCTTATAAAGTTCCAAAGCTTTAGCTGCAAATCCACACTGTATATAACCAGAAATCATCGACGCCCACGACACCAAATCCTTCTCTTCCATCTCATCAAACAAAGTTCTAGCAACATCAGCTTGACCCAACTTACAATACCCAGCAATCACAGCATTCCACGACTCGACATTCCGCTCAGGCATTTCATCAAACAGCTTACGCGCATTCTCCAAATCCCCACAACTAAAACACGCCGTAATCAATGTATTCCAATTAACAACATTATTCACAGGCATTTCATCAAACAGCTTACGTGCACTCCTAAAATCTTCACATTTCGAGTACAAATTAATCAATGCATTATTGATAAACGCATCACAATCAAAACCCAGTTTCAAAACCATCCCATGAATCCTTTTCCCTTCAATTTGACACAATTTCATAGCATAAGCTTTAAGCACAAAAACAAACGTAAATCTGTTCTCTTCAACCCCATTAGACCTCATTAATCGATAATTTTGAACTGCTTTTTCTGGGTTTTTCGCCTCGCAATAACCCCTGATTAAAGTTGTCCATGAATATGAATTCGGAGAATTGATTTGATTGAAGATTTGATGAGCATAAACGATGTTTCGAGCCGAAACAGCGAAAGTCTCGACCAATTTTGTTGCGAGGAAAGTGTCTTTGATTTGGGCAGTAATTATAAAATGAGCGTGGATTTGCTTCAATTTTTGTGTAGAATTGCATGATTGAAGAGTAGAGAGAAGTTTAGAATTTGGATACTTGGAAAGCATGGAAATGAAGCCACCATTAAACGAGCAGCCACTAAAATCAATTCCTGGTCTTTCCACTTTTATATTTAAAAGGGGAGGGTTAGCCACACCATGCGGTACATCAAATCAGGTAAATGAATAATCCCTTTTTTTTTTTTTTTTTTTTTGAGCAAATGAATAATCCCTTACCGACCAAGTTTCTTCTACTATCATGTATGATCCGTCATATGAAAATTAGTGAACTACTCCGTAGTATTTAACCCGTGGAATGCACGGGTTAAACTATGTTGCTACTCTATATTAGTACAGTAATTTTTATTTTAAAGACAATTTATTTGCATATTAGGATTGCTCTTGGATTGAATTGAAGCCAAAATGTGTGTTCATAAAAATTGTACGTAGTATTTAGAAGTCAAATGAAATTAGTGTAATGGGAGGACAATAAGCCAAAAAATGGAAAGATCAAGAATAAATAAATATTAAGTACATTGATTTGCGCATGATTTTATAATAAACTAGCCTTCTAGCACGGGTTGTTTATAGAAAGTTGCATTGAAAGGTAATGATCGAGGAGATACCAATAAATCATTATGGGGTGTAATGTGTAATCTAAAGTATAATTAAAGAAATTAGATTTTTAGGGCTCTAATTCAAAATGAAGCTTTAAAAAAAGAAGGTGAAGGGGCCAAAATTAAAGAGAGAAAAGGAAAAGGTTGAATTGAATAGGGGAGATGAATATGAAGCGTGTATGAGAGAGATGAAAATATAAGTTTAATGAAATAATTAAGATAGTGTGATAAAAAAATTAAAAAAAAATATAAGAAGACATGTGGCACATCTAGTGTAAAAGAAGCTAGAAAAGTGTATTAAAATGGAGACATGTGTATTTTCCGGTTAGAGTTTTTAAATACTAAGTATAGATTTTCACTTTACTCCATTTTAGGAATAACTGTTTATGTGTAGTTTAAAAGTCACTGTTAGGATTGCTTGATCAAGGGTTGCTCAGTGAATGTGACCGGACACACAGAAAACATATTTTTTCTTTTTTCTTTTGGTACTTTCAAATGTCACAAACGTAATGAAGCAAAAGAAGTAATTTACAGAAAATAGATGATTCTTCCATTATAATTTTATTTATAAACATGATTACAATTCAGAGTACCTTATATGTAGGTACATTGTATTTTTAAACCATATCACACGAGTCTAAAAGATAATCAATTAATTATTAATTAATATACGCTAGAGGTTATATTTTAAGAAACGACTTAGCAATTTGACCATTACCCCCCTTAGGGTAAAACCCACCAGGAACATGCTCATCCCCGGTTACATACAAATCCCTAAGTATTTCAGCAGGCGTCCGAGCATAAGAAATCGAGTCGGCGTCAGCCGATAAGATGTTTGCGGTAGACTTGCCCTCAGCCCCAAGCTTCTCCGGGACTACGACGCCTTCGTCTTTAAAGCCATCCTTGCCTAAATTGTTCCTTAGAGTTGAAATGCGATTTGTGAATTCTGCCACGGTAAAGTTATATGGTTGTACTATGTCACCTTGTCTCTCGTATAGGTATGTTCTTATCACCGCGTCTTGGCCACTTTCAACCCCCAATAGTCCTGCTAGAAGCTGCATAACAACATTTAAGGAATACTTTGAATCAAAGAAAACATTAAGGGTTTAATTCAAAGATATAGAAGTTCATACAAATATAAGTTTCAATATTTATTCACTTATTATTAGAATAGTAACATTTTATAGAATTTCTTAAACATCTCATATAATATAAATGGCATATTGTCATTTTGACGTGCTAAATGTGTAATAACCGAGTAATTTGGCAATAAATAAAATCGACAATTGTGGTAATTAAATGTAATGAAGTAAAAAAAAAAAAAAAAAAAAAATTATACGTAATTAATTAAGCAAATTTAGGTAATTATCTTACCCTTCGAGTAACATAACCTTTGATTTGTGCGTTAGCACCAACATAACCATTAAGTCCCAAGTAAGGAATAATGTAAGAAGCCAATACGTAGCTGACACTATCTCTGTATGGATCAAATGGAGGCTTAAGATCACTTTCAAATGCTTTATTTACAATTTTTGCAAAGTTTTTCGGACTTAAATCTATCAATGGTCTTGGGAGTCCTCCAACTGTCTTTTTTATGATCCTAACAATAATAATACCAAAAAAATAATGTTAAAATAAACATTTAGAATTTTTTATTTTTTTTCTGTTGTTTAGAGAGCCACAAGGGCGGGGAATGAGAGTCGATCCCAAGATCTCTCGGAATCGGGAGGGGAGCTCTAACCACTTGAGCTATCCCTTACTCTCAACATTTAGAATATTATAAACTAGGTTATTATGTACTCGTGCAATGCACGTATATGATAATTAATTAATTTAACATGTTGATTGGTTAGTTGGAATAATCTTTACGTTATACTTGTAATGACACTTTTGTGAGAGAATTCGTGAATTTAATTACTACCTCCGTTACATATTATTTGCAACGATTTGACATAAAGTAGAGAGGAAAAATGTCTAATCGTTGCACATAATATGTAACGGAGGTAGTATTAAAATAAAACTTGCTGATATACACCATCAAAAATGACTTGTGAGTACATATGAATTGAAGGGTACAATTTACGTACGTTAAGTGTCCAACTTCTTCATAAGCAATTTCTTTGATAAAATTTTGAGTGAAATTGTCAAGGTTAGCCTTTCGAGCCCCAATTGGAGGTGGACCACCAAGGGTTAGCTCTGGGGCAACCTTGTCAAGGCCAAACCCTAACGCACCCCACAAGAAGAAATCGGCTTCCAAATGCTCTATATTTTGAGCAAATTGCAACACCTTAACATCAATATCGTAAACAGGTTTACCGGTATTTGAATCGTAGTGATCCAAATCAATACTTGGGTACACCGACCTAATAGACCCTAGGAAAATAAGGATCACTAAAATTGATAATGAAGAAGATTTGGATACAAGAATGCTCATTTTAGCCAGATGATAAAACTTTATGCCTTTTAATTAGAAGGGGTTTTGAGATGTTTTTGTTTGTATGAAATATGATTTGTGAAATTCAATTGACTTGTATATATATACTAGTCTAAGCTAGCTATCATATCGATAAATCCTATGAGAGGCTTTTACTAACCTTTATTAGTATGTTGTTTTTGTAGAAGATAATATCATGATTATATCTTGATATGGTCGATTTATCAAATCATGTGCATGTAATATCTTTGACTCTAGCTGCATCTTTTACAATTAAGGTATATATATCCTCCTTTATTATGTACATAATGTTTCTATACAAAAGATGTGAATGATCTCCTTTACTAACGTAGTTTAGCTTATTTGTGCACATATTTAGACTGATCTTTGTATATTACACTATGTAATGTAATTATCATATAAAAATGACCCTATTCATTCTCCCTCACATAAATATGGTATCAGAGTAGTGGCCCGGAAATCCTTAACTTTTTTTTTTTTTTCATATTTTCAGTCTACCAACAAAATCTCCATGCATACAACAACAAAATCTAGCTACATGCATGGCTTCAAACAACAAAGCCATACCTATTCATAACAATAAGGCCAAGATGTTTATAAGAATCAATCCTAGGATTCTGTAAAACCAGAAGGAAAACTTTAACCAACTATAAGCTACCTTGCACTCTTTGTACCTATTCATAATCCCCTCATTGTAACCTTCACATGCAAAATAGGAACAATATTACGTCTACTATGGCTCATACCATCCGCTCTACTTCCTTTTTTTTTTTTTTTGCCACTCACTTTCCTTACGACATTAACCCATGCCTCTATTACAACTAGGTAGCAACGCCCATAACTTGGCTCCTTGATACGGACGCCACTCACCATGTCAACCATGATGTGTCAAATCTATCGCTTTGTCATGTCAATCACACTGATGTTCCTTTTAGCTTAGTCGCATTGAATTGGTTCGTTTACTCTCCATAATTCTTCCTCCACATCAATTCATGTAAACAATAATGTTTCATGTGCACCAACGAACTATGACTACTTGTCTACTCTTTAGTCTTTACATTATCTCTATTGTTTCCCATTATTTATGCTCTAATGACAAATAATCTAAATTTTTTCCTTTTTTTTTCTTTTTTTTATTTTTTTTATTGAGGTTTCATCTAACTTTTTTTTAATCAAGGTTGTTTCAGAAGGCGCATATTAACAAAGGTCCATACTCCATAGCATCTAAGCAAGGGCTTTATACTTCACATCTTACTTAGCCTTTTCTACTTTAATTTCAAAGCTCATAAAGTCATGAGTAATAAATTGGCATCATCGTTTTGGTCATCCTTTTGTAACTACCTTATGAAGGAGTATTATTTCGGAAAACAATGCAAGCTTGATGTCACTAGCCAGCTTAGGTTTTTATCTTTTTAATTGTAATGCTTGTTAATGTAATAAAAGTTATAACCTCTCATACTACTCTTGATTACATTTATTGATACATACAAATCTCCAATTCATTATTCAATTCTGTTGATTATTTTAAATTCTATTTCATAATACTTGTTTATTTACCAAATACATTATATTTGGTTCTATCCACTACAAATACTAAATTTGAATCTATCCTCTCATAACATGCCAAATCGATCAGATTTTTATATTTAGATAATGGGGAAGAATTATGAAGCTTTAGAATCTTTTTTCACCATTGATGGAATGTCCTTTATCCATCAAATCATATGCATATACTAATATCTTTGAGACTTTGACTAATATCTTTTGTAATATAATACTACCTCCGTTAAGTTTTATTTGCAACTTTGGGGGTGAACACGGAACCCAAGTCAAAACTTCCAAATGGTGATTAATAAAATCTTATGCATGTGATAATATAGAGAGAGAAAGTGTGGGGACCAAATTATCCCTTAAAAAAGGTGGGAGAGTTACCCGTATTTTTTTGGTGGGTTTCTTTTTCCCTCCTAAAAATTTGGCTACTTTAAAATTTTCAAACTTTTCAGAAATTTAGGGGTTACAATTTTCCCTCCATTCAAAAAGCAAGGGATTACAAGATTCCCTCCATTACAAAAGCAGGGGCTCAATAAAAAGGAGCATATAAATACAAATACAGCCACCCCTTGCATTTAATTTCCCCTCTTCTTCTGTCCAGTCCTGAAAAAAATACAGACCATGTTTCTCCAAAAATTTAAGCTTTGCTGCCTATTTACAGGCCATTAGTTCAAACCACTAAGAAAAAAAAAGCCTTCAATACTCCATTGTAGCTTAGCAGCAATCTTCCCCTTCCGCACATTAGCAAAAAAATCCCTTTCTTCTACACCTATTATCTGAAAAACAAAAAAAAAATAAAAAAAAATACAGAAATGGAGGAGGAATTTGATGATGGGTTTTTCAGCATGCATCAACTATTAGATGAAGAAATGCAACAAAATTCAGATTATGAAGCAGAATTAGAGTTTATGGCACCAGGCCAACATGAGCAAATTGTTCGAAAACAGAAGCCACAACTTACAATCGCAAAGAAAAGAGAGATTGTTGATGAAATGCTTAAACTTATGCATAACGGCAGCTTACCAAGGGGTGCTTTAGCCAGATTTGCAAGGCATTTTGGCATTCACAAGTCCACAACAACAAGATTATTTCAAGAAATATGCAGGCAACTAGCGGAAGGGACTATTATCGATGTCAGGAGCAAGAAGTTAGGCAAGTGTGGCAGAAAAGCAAGGCAATACAGTGAGGAATGGTTACAATCTATCCCTTTATACCTCAGAACAACTGAGAGAAGTTATGCTGCTGCACTTGGTATTTCTCATGTGACCCTCCACACATTGAAAAAAAAGGGCATTCTCAGAACACATACAAGTACAAACAAGCCAAGACTGACATCGGATCACAAAATAGCAAGGCTTAGGTGGGTTCTGAATCACATACAACCAGCAACAGCAACTACAAATCCAACATTTGAAGACATGAGCAATATGATTCATATTGATGAAAAGTGGCTTTACATAAACCCGGAGACAAGAAGATTTTATCTTTTGCCCAAGGAAGAAGATCCATATAGATGTCAACAGTCTAGAAGATTCAAGATAAAAGTTATGTTCATGGGCATCATTGGAAAGCCATTGTATGATGCACAATGTCATTTGATTCATGATGGGAATATTTCCCTTTGTATTTCAACAAATGGCAAAGAAAAAAAGTAAAAACAGAGATGCTGGAACACTTGAAACAAAGCCAATTCAGAAAACATAAACAGAGAAGCATTTAGGGATATGTTGCTTAACAATGTGATACCAGCCATTGTAAGCAAATGGCCTGCAAACATGCCGAAGGAAGTGGTTATACAATGGGATAACGCCCGGCCACATCAAATTCCACAAGATGAAGAATTCATTGCAGCAACTAGGCAAGGGGGATTCAACATCAGAATTGTATTCCAACCAGCACAATCTCCTGATTTAAATGTGCTGGATTTGGGTCTATTTAGGGTGATTCAATCTCTACATTACCAATCATTTCCAAAAGACTTGGATGAAATGATAGTGAAGGTCAAAGAGGCTTATCATGCATTTCCAGCAATTGTAAACAAGTATACTTGGATAACATTGCAAACATGTATGTTTGAAATACTGAAAGTGGAGGGAGGTAATAAATACAAGATTCCACATATGGGGAAGCATAAACTACAAAGACTTGGGTTGTTACCAGAACAATTGGAGGTCAGCCAAGCCCTCATTAACCACAGTCAACTACATTAACACCATGTTCATCCAAACAGATCAGAACCACGAAAGGACTCAGAACCAACAAGGTGATCAGTTAGAAGTGGATGCAGACTAAAGGGAGAATAGCCAACAACAGGGACTGCCACACATAACCAACATTTTTTTGATACAATGGATTTGTAAGTTATTTTTATTAACTTTGGTTATGTGTACTTTTGTGTCTAGGAAGTTTTTGTCTAAGGCAATCATGTTAGAAGACATTTTGTCAAGGGACTAGAATTTTGTCTTATTTTAAAGTAATTTGAAGTCTTCTAAGTAGTGTTATGTAATTTAAATGTGATATGAAGTCTTCTTACTATTATTTCTTTTTTTGCACATTTACAATCATGCACACATAAGTTGCAAATAAAAGTCATCAAAGGGTAACTAATCCATCAGAGGTGTATTTTTATCATTAAAAAAAAACCCAAACCATGTTACCTCAACAGTAAGTGCACAACACTTAAAACTGGAGCAAATCAAAGTTTGGACTAATTTTAATCAATTGAGTCCCTTCATCATTTGGATTAATAATGGGCATGACAATGTAAATTAGGGACTCATTCGAAAAACAAAATAGGGACAGACTAGGCAAGAGGGAGGGACTCAAATCAGTACATAATTAAGCAAGGTAAGGCAACAAGGAGGTACTGAATGTACTGCACAACAGTAAGGGACTGAAATCAGTCCATAATTAAGCAATGCAAGGCAACAGGGAGGTATTTAATGTATGTACTGCACAACAGCAAGGGACTCAAATTAGTCCATAATTAAGCAAGGCAAGGCAATAGGGAGGTATTTAATGTACTGCACAACAGGAAGGGACTCAAATCATTCCACAATTAAGCAAAGCAAGGCAACAGGGAAGTACTCAATGTACTGCACAATAGGAAGGGACTGATATTAGTCCATAATTAAGCAAGGCAAGGCAATAGGGAGGTACTTAATGTACTGCACAACAGGAAGGGACTCAAATCATTCCACAATTAAGCAAAGCAAGGCAACAGGGAAGTACTCAATGTACTGCACAATAGGAAGGGACTGATATTAGTCCATAATTAAGCAAGGCAAGGCAACAGGGAGGTACTTAATGTACTGCACAACAGGAAGGGACTCAAATCAGTCCACATTTAAGCAAAGCAAGGCAACAAGAAGGGACTCAAGTCAATCCATAATTAACAGTGAGGTACTCAATGTACTGCACAACATTGTTCTCTAAAAAAATGTCATCGAGAACAACAACTAAAATGCTCATACACATCATTCATCAATAATAGTCCCTTATATGCAAGGCAACAACACCAGACAATCAAGTTGCATACAACTGCATTCAAACTGAGAGCTAGATGAACACAAACCAGGAAACTAAAGCGATGCACAAAAACCTTCATTACAGGCTCCAATTCATCAACAATTAAACCATTCTCACCAACAACAACAATTAAACCATTCTCACCAACAACAATTCATCAATCAACCCAGCACATAATAACATAAATATCGATAAATTAGGGATCATAAATAGTTACCCAGAACAGGTCAATCAGTGGGAAGGCCAAATTTCATTCGCTTACTTGCAGGCTCAACATCATATTCACCAGCAGCAGTGGGGGACTCATGTTTGTCATCATCATCGTAAATTGGTGTGATCTTAGCATCGATCCCATACATTCTTCTCATCTGTGTCGTAGAGACCCTCCGTATCATCTTAGGATAACTATTAGATAACCAACAACATTTCATCAATCAGCAATTATACCATACAAAAATAGATAACCAACAATTAAACTATACTAAACCATTCTCACCAATTAAACGATAAATATAATCAAGTAGCTTAATTTGGCCGGTCATGATTTTATAAGTAAAAGTGTGGAATTATGTTAGATACATCGGATTCATCACATGCATATCATTTAGATCATCTTCACTTTCTCTTATTTTTCTGAAATGAAATAATTATTTGTGAATTGAAATTAAACCATTCTCACCAACAAAAATTAATCAATTAACCCAGCTGAAAATAACATAAAATTCGATAAATTAGGGATCAAATATAGTTACCCAGAAATAGGTCTCGTAGGGTGCTGCATTTTGGGTTTTTTTCCACGACCCGACCGTAAGCTTCCACCCATCTCAGAAATAGATCTGAGTTGTGTCGAACCACCACACTCAGAGACAGATCTGGGTTCGCATTTCATTTCCCCTTCCCCAACAGGTTCGGTTATCACTTCCCCTTTCCCAACACTCGAGCTTACAGTGCTTAATTTTTGGGCGGTTTCCTCCTCTTCAATAGATATGAGCACTTTACCAATCGCAGCGAAGGTTCGTCGGCTGAAAATTTCTCCACCTTTGCCCGACATAAAGAACAAATTAGGCCACGACGCCCGTTGTTCAAAAGCTTCAATTAGAGCATCTATGAAACCCATTTCGATTTCGTCATCACTTGCGAAAAGAGCTTCGTGTAGTGGGGTTAGATCCATTTTAATGGACTGTGTTCTTTAGATGGTAGAGACTAGAGAGTAGATGACAGAGAAGAAAGAGAACGAAGAAGAGAGGACAGAGAAAGGAGATGGGATATGCGACTGAAAGAGGAGAGAGAAACACCCAAATGAGAAAGATGAAGAAACTTCAAGAACTAGGGTTTTAATTCAAGATGAATTGATGATTTAATCTAGGCCATTTAATGTGGTAGGTGGGAGAATGATTTAATTTTTTGGTGGGAGTTGTTAAATTAATGAAATCAGATTATGATGATAATGTGTTTTAGCTAATTGTCTAAGTGAGTGTTTGATTTATTAAGTAAAGGCAATATTGACATTTTCACTAAAATTACTTACTATAAATGGAAATATTTGGAAAAGTTGCAAATAATACTAAGCATCCGAAAATAGTAAAAGTTGAAAATAAAACTTAACGGAGGTAGTATAATATTAATATTTTCCCCTTTTATTTACTACTCCGTAATATATAATATTTCTACGTAATATCTCTGCATCAAAGATACTACGTGTTAATCATATTATCTCAACGTAGTGTATTTGTGCACATACATATATATAGGTTGGTCTTTGTACTATACTTCTTCTGTTTCTCTAATAATCTAATACTACGTACTAGTATATTGAATTAATTCTTCCTAGACTTTAATTTTCAATTTATTTTATTATTCTTGATATGTACATAAAAACTATAAAAGTTAATTAATTAGTTGATGTATTGAAAATTAAATCGAGACAAATCTAACAACAGTCCACAAAATTATACTTTTTTTTACACATTAATCATAGTAGCCAAAGTATTATGTAATTAAAATTATTCAAAACAAATTATACATGACATATTCATTCTCAATTTATCACAGTTTAGTGGGGATATGTGACTGCGGGAATAGTATGGATTATCTTATACAAGTAAGGTCCTGTTCTTTAAAGCTGCTTTGCTCTACTCTATCCTGCCGTACTCTGCTATTTTGAAATCTACTCTGCTCTGCTAAAATTTTCTTTGCCCTGTGTGGAAGCTATACTGAAATATGTTCTACTTTGTCGTGCTCTGCTGTATGTGAAAGCTCTTCCCTACTTAAATCTGCTCTGCTGCTCTGCCCAAAAACTCAAAAGAATAGGGTCTAAGTCATGCTTGCCACAAGGGCGAGTGATAAAGATCGATCCAAGAATCAAAATAAGAAGGGATCGGAGTTTTAACCACCTAAGTTATCCTTCATTGTCACTCTAAAATAACTTATTTTAACGTGTATGTTTAATATATATTGTGGCGGAATTTTAAGTAAAAATGTGGCCAAGCATAGCCCACGACGTGTTATAGTGTTTACACAATAATGTGTTGAGCCTGACTCCCTCCCCCGTATCCTTGTCATGCCATATTTTTTTCATGTTGCCGTTGGAGCAATGCCATCTTTAGTTACTTATACTGACAAAAAACCATTAATGTAAACACTATATATGGACACAGAGAAGATTATAAAGACTAATGAAATAGTTACGTGTAGGCATGTTTAACTAAGTTATATAAATTGTAAGCAAAATCAACAAAATCATTTAAAGTGTGATGTCTTAATTTAATTTGGCCAGTGACGATGGCTGATGAGATGAGCGTGGACTTTTTGTAGAATTGCTTTAATTTATGATTGATTGAAAAATTAAGAAAATGGTAGAATTTCCCCAGTAATGTTCAAGGCTTCAAGCTACTTGTATAGTGCTTTAACTAGGTTAAAACTAAAAGTGTACATTGTCAATCGTAATAAGCAAATGTAAATACTTTTGTAAATAAAAATGGAGGTATTAAATATAAAATTCACTAAACATAAAGCAAATCTATTGATCTAACTATTACTAGACCTTTCAATATACCTTAAAAAAAATATTTAGTCAGTGGCATGGGTACTAATCTAGTTGCTTAATAACCCTACAACACACGTCACATATATATACAATATGTGGGTATATGTGACACGTATATAGTGATATTACTGATATAAATACTATCTAACTAAGTTCATGCATATGTAGACATATCAATGTCGTACATAAATGTCTTTTTCACAATTTTAATTATTTTTGCCTACATTTACATTTGTACGTGTAGGCGTGTAGCATAAAATTCTTTGTACGGAATAAAAATCAGAATAATTGTATTTAGTAAGTACAAATATCATCATACAAGTACTCCATACATTTTATCTACAACCCTTACAATGTTTCACTTGTTCCCTTATGAATAGTGCTCACATGTGTGAGTGTCATGTGTGATTCACATGTGTGAGTGGCATGTGTGATTGCTTTTGTTTTGTTTTTTTTGTTTTTTTTCTTACTTTGTCTATTTTTTTATTTTTTTTTAAAATTTAAAAAAAGGGGTGATTTCTTTTGATTTGGCAGTGTTAGTTTTAGCCTTGCCTCTGAATGCACCTTCCCGTTTTTTTCCCTCTGTCACCTTGGAGGCGCCTGGAGGGGACATGTGTCTTCTTTCTCTTTTTCCCTTTGTCACCTTCAACCTTTCTTCTTTGGTGATTCATGGAGACATGCAATCTTCTCCTCTGAATGCACCTTCCCATTTTTTTCCTCCAATTTGTTTCCTTATTTTTTTTCCCTTTTTTCACTCCAATTTTCTTTTCTAGATTTTTGCTTCTTCTCTTGAACTTTGTATGATGAAGTTGACACAACACTATGTGTCGACCTTCTATGTGGTTTCACCGGCTTCCTCACCTTCTGCAATCGATAAAGCAAAATCGCAACTTTTCATCAATGGCTACAAGATGTCAAAATACTTACCAGTTCATCATTATCAGAAGGTAAATTGTATATATAAGCATTGGATTTTTAGATTATATATGTTTGCCCTTTATACACTGAGATAGTAAAATTTGTTTTGTATTTGACTCAAATTTTCTGATTTCACACCTTAATTAAAACTTGTCTCTATTATAATTCATTTTATCATCAATATAGGGTAAATTGTATATATAAGCTTTGGATTTAGATTACAACTTGTTCATATGTTTGCCCTTTATACACTGATATAGTAAATTGTATATATAAGCATTGGATTTAGATTACTACATACCTTATACTATAATAATTATTATAGTTATAATTCATTTAATTAAAACTTGTCCCTTTGTAGTATTTGCTTTCTTTGCTTAAAATTGCTGGTGTTCTCGAGGCTTATGTTGAGCTTATATAGAAATCAATGAAAATGACATTGACTTCTTTTCTATATATCTATATATTTATCACTTTAGGTCCTAATCCAAATTCCAAATCATATCCAAATCCAAAATCTAAAAAAAAAAAGGTAGAAACCAGCAAGAACTCTTGGTAGTAATATCTTGCTCGTATAATCATTTTAGTTTTCCTTGTTCTTGTTGAATGCATATATTGAGCAATTTACACTAATCTGAAAATCAGAAAATGTGACATATTCTTATGGCCTTGTATTGGACTTACTTGGATTGCCAATTCAAACTAAATATATCTACACTTGCTTCCTATGACAATTTACTTTATATTTAGGTTGTTTAATTGTGTAGCAATCTTAGTTATACAAATTATGGCTGTTAGAGCTACATGCACTATATTTAATTATGCTCTTACACAAGTTCTAATTTCCAATTTTTGCTGTTTATATTATATTGGTTTTGATATGGTTGTTTTGTATAATTGGCTAATGAGTGATAATATATTAATTGGCTAGATCACTGATTGTAATGTGATGGTTTGTGCAGGCTAGTGTTGGGGTCCTGTTTGCTCTTTGTTGGCTGGTGTTGGGGTCTTGTTTTACATCTGCTGCCCAGAATTATTGGTATTGCTTTTCTGATCTTTATCCTATTTGCTTATGTTTACTATTGCTTGTTTTCTTTACTATTGCTTATACATCCTATAGTAGTTTTTTTGGTTGTAATATGTGCTTGGTATGTGATACATGTTGTATTTCACTATTGTGCTCTATTTAGATAAAGATATTAATTTAAATGTGTGATAGTGATACCAAATTCTGTTTCATTATGGAGTAAGTGCCTGTTAGATCGTGGTCCTTTTTAATGGTGTGTGCTTTCTTTTTAGGCTGACTGGTAGTTTTAGTGTATGTTTCTAAGAGGGCTTTGCTTGTTTTAGTTTAGGATAGGATTGATTGGAATGAGGTAGGTTATGTTGTGGAATTAGTGAATAGGAACGATGTTAATTGTTTGATCCGTTGGGCATGCACACAGGTCATGGAGCTAGAGTCTCGCAAGGTCTCTATTTCGTACTGTTGCTTGTCAAGGAAGGTTATGGGTCACCTGCAGTTTCCACCTTCTGTTTATGAATTAGTGGCCATTCATAAGAATCATGTGAAGTTGCATGTGGAAACGACAGACCTTGGATTTTCACACACCTACACTTTTGATGGTGGTGAGGGTGAAAAGTTGGAGGCTTCATCTGAAAAAGCGGCAAAGGATGCTGTCAGACACTTGAGGCTAGAGTTTGACCTCTGTATTCATGATTGGACGAGTACTAAGATTTGGATGTACAAGCGTTGCGAGGTGCTGTTCCAGCTGAAGCATGATGCTTTGGAGTCTAAGGAACGACCGCTTCATAAACCACCTGTTAATTGGCTTAGTGCTTTCCCTGAGAAGGCAGGTGCCAAGGATGTCTTTATTGACTACTTGGATGTGCTGCATGTGCTGACTGTAGAGACTTGTGCACGAGTCTCAACTATTGAGTCCTCTGAGCTTGCACTGCAGGGGTATGTGGCATGGCTTACGGTGTATTTCCCTGGAGAAACAGTTAACATGGAGTGTATAATTAGTGACATATGTGTTGGTGAGGCAGCTGCTAGACAAAATGCTGCTGTGAAGGCTGTTTCTTTCCTCCAGTGCAGGTATAGGATAGAAATAATTGACCTGAACTATGGCCATGAAAAATATGCTGGCATTAAGTGTTCATTGACCCGAGAGAGCTACATGTCTGCTCAGGAACGTGTGCTTGGTGTGCAAGGAACACTTCACTTGGCGCCTTTTCTAGACGAGCATGACTGCAGCACACCAAGATCCCTTTGTAACAAGATCCCAAGTGCAAGCCTACCACCTAATACTCCTCGTAAGCGTAGAGCTCGTCCTACTTTCAAGAGGACAGGTGCATCTAATCAGCCTCCTGCACTTAACTTTGTTTGGGTCCCATCAGACTTGGAGGCTGTTTTTAAGTGTAGGAAGAGGAATTAGTTATTGGGTGGTTTGTTTAGAGATGATAGGTCAAATTTCGGATCTGTGTTTGTTCATGGCCTTTTTAGTATTGTTGTTTTGTAAACCTAAGAGCTATAGTGCTCAGTTGACTTTGTGATGTTGTGTTTGCTGTACTCTGAATTTGATGGCCATGTATTTTGCTTTAGCTTAAGAATTGTCTATGTAATTGCTATTTTGGATAATGACTTTTAAAGAGCAATGAAATCTATAATTTCTCAGTTATAAAGTTTGTTTCACTGTTTTATACACTGTTATTTTTACCATTTATTACAGTGTGAGCTTATGAGCCTTGGCTTTTTATTGTGTATATGTATTGATGGCGTTTACTATCTATACATGGCAGGAGTATACTGATTTCTAGATTTTTATCAGTGTCGGCCATCTATGGGTATCGTCTTCATAGCCTATTATATTGTTGTACATTGAATATGTTAGGATTTTACCTTATATCATATGTTACCTTCGCTTGCTACAGACTACCCTGATTACCCTTCATCTTCTAAAACTAAAACTCGAACAAGTAAACGCATACGGGGAATTATTGGAGAGCCCAAAAAAAAGAAACAAAGGAAGCCTAAACCTATAGGGCCAGGTAGTGTGGTGTTTAATTTGCTATATTTAATTGCCTTATTATACATGTTGTCCAAACTGTAAACTAAGGCATGGTTATAAATATGTAGTTGGAGATGCATGGGATGTTGGCCAACAAATGCCAACAACTCCTTTTGAATTGGCAACTCCTTATTTCTGTGACAAATGCTTGGCAAAAAAATTTGCCTATGAACCCCCCAAATTTTGCTGTAGTGGTGGGGAGTGTGTGATTGTTTATAATCAACTTCCTCCTGAGATTATTAGATTATTAGATTGTTCACTGCAAAAGATGAAATCGCTGACCATTTTCAAACATATGCGCGTTTATATAATAATATGTTTGCTTTCAGTTCTTTGGGGGGTGCATTGGAATCACAGTCAAAAAAGGGTGTATATGCTTTTAAATTACATGGGCAGCTATACCATTTTGTGCCTGACTTGTTACCTGATGGCACCCAGCCACAGTTCCTTCAACTTTACTTTTATGATTCTCAGCATAAGGCTAAGCACTGACTTGACCTCTTCCCAGAGCTCCAGGCAGATGTTATTGCAATTCTGATGGAAGTTATGTCGCATAACCCGTATGCCAGATTTTTTAAATCTCTGAGGGATATTAATGTCTCGACTGAAACTGTGATTACCCTCAACAAATACCCTACTTTGGATCAGCGGGTGTACAATGCTCCGACATCTGACGAGGTGGCTGCTATATGGACTGATGCCAGTGCATCCCATGAACAAAGTACTCCTCACATCACAGTGTACGGGAAATCTACTGAGAGCCACCGTATAATGCATTATTATGGCTGCTATGACCCTCTGCAGTACCCTTTATTATTCCCTCGTGGTGATTGTGGTTGGCACCATGGCCTTCTAAAAATGTCTTCTTGTGGGCAGATTCATGATCAGAGCTTTGTAGCCACAGTCGCTGCAGATGGGGATGATGATGCTGCTGCTGCTGCATTGCTGCAAGGAGATGATCCATGTAAGATTTTCAGTATTCTTTGTTGCATGCATAGCTAATATACATGCATTGCCAATAAAATTTCTAACCAATTAGATGGGTGATATAGTTAATTTTTTGTTGCATATTGTTGTCTCAGCTGCTACTAATGGCAAACGGGGTAGGTTTATTTCTGCTAGGGAGTATTATGCCTATCGTTTCCAAATACGGATTGGTAATTATCTGCTAAGAGCAGGACGACTGTTTTTGCAATCCATTGTGGACATGTATGTGAAGATTGAAAATACGCACTTGGATTTTTTTCGGAAAAACCAAAAAAAAATAAGGGCTGAATTATATCAAGGTCTTGTTGATACATTTGATGGTGGGGAAACAAATGCTTCTAATGTTGGGCACTCAGTTATATTGCCCCCTACGTTCCTTGGGTGTCCTAGGGATTTGAGCAGGAGGTACCTTAATGCAATTACTCTTGTGCAAAGGTTTGTCAAGCCTGACCTCTTTGTGACTATGACTTGCAATCCCAACTGACCAGAAATCAAAGCAGGACTTGCTCCCGGTGAAAAGGCTCAAGACCGGCCTGATTTAGTTGCGCGTGTTTTCAGGGCAAAACTTATTGCACTGAAAAAGAAGATTACAGAAGAAAATGTCTTTGGTGAAGTGGCCACTTTCATTTATGTTGTGGAGTTTCAGAAGCGTGGCCTTCCACATGTACATATGCTGATTATACTGAAACAAGGGTATAAAATCAAGGAACCAGCCTTGTATGACAAGTTTACTTGTGCTGAGATTCCTAGCAGTGACAACCCTCACTTGCGTAAAATTGTTCTTCGCCATATGATGCATGGCCCTTGTGGTAAGGACGATCCTAGCCGCTCCTGCATGAACAAGAAAGGGTTTGAAGGAAAGTGTAAATATGGTTACCCAAAAGCATACAACGACACAACCACCAACAATGATAGTGGTTACCCTGCTTACCGCAGGCGCTTTACTGGTGAGTCTATTCGAATTAGGGGGAGAAGGCTAGACAACCAATGGGTGATCCCCTACAATCCTTACTTGTCAGCGCTCTTTGATTGCCATCTTAATGTGGAGATTTGCTTCATAATTCAAGCTGTGAAGTATTTGTATAAATATGTCTACAAAGGGCATGATAGATGTTCTTTCAGTGTAACAGAAACAAGCGTGAGGCAACCTGTTAATGAGATTAAACAATTTCAGTCAGGTCGTTGGGTCTCTCCTTGTGAAGCTGCTTGGAGGATCTTTTCATTTGATCTTTATGAGATGCATCCGCCTGTACTGTTGCTGCAGGTGCACTTGCCAAACCATCATTCTGTTAGGTTTAATGCTATTGACCAACTAGAGGATGTAGTTGCTGACAGTAGAAGGGCCAGAACGTCGTTAACTGAGTTTTTCAAAATGAATGCTGCATTTCAAGACAAGCCAAAATATCTGTATTCTGAATTTTCTGAACATAATGTGTGGCATCCTTCTTCTAAGACATGGACAGAACGTTCCTTTGGTGTTGTCGTTAGCAGATTAGCCTTTGTTTCTCCATCTGAAGGGGAGAGATATTTTCTCCGTCTTCTCTTAACGCATGTAAGGGGTCCCACATCATTTGAAGACCTGCGTACTGTTAATGGGTTTCTCTGTGCTACATTCCAAGAAGCTGCTGTTAAGTTGGGTCTACTTAGTGAAGATGATGCTGTGGAAAAGTGTATGGATGAAGCTGCTACTGCACAAATGCCACGGGCACTACGAAGGCTATTTGAACACTGCTTATTTTTGGTAATCCGCGTGATCCTTTAGCACTATGGCATAAATACTACACCGCTCTTTGTGAAGACTACAGCTACTTATTCAGAGGTGAGGAACAAAAAGTTAAAGCAATAACAGTTCGGGAAGTGGAGCGATATTTAGAAGAGATGGGCAAGACATTACAAGATTTTGGGTTGGAGTCTTTAGTCGTTCCTGCTGATGAAGCGCTTACCAGGACTAAAGATATTGCAGATGCATTAGACGCACCTATACCTAATGAATATGTTGAAGCAATTGCTACGTTAAACAACAAGCAACATGAGACTTTCACTGCAATTATGAGCAAGGTCAACAGTGAAGAATCGGGAGTCTTTTTCATCGATGGTCCTAGGGGCACGGGTAAAACTTACCTTTATTGTGCTCTCTATGCTGCCATTAGACAGATGGGCAAGATAGTGCTTCCTACAGCAACATCAGGCATAGCTGCATCAAATATGGTCACGGGTCGGACAGCTCGTTTGCGTTTTAAACTTCCTCTAGACCACACCATGTCAATGGCTTGCAATGTATCTAAGCAAAGTGGCCTTGCAGACCTATTAAAAGCGAGCTCTTTGATAATTTGGGATGAAGCTTCGATGGCTTTAAAACAAAATATTGAATCTCTTGATCTGTTGCTTAGAGATTTATGTGAGGAAGAACAACCATTTGGCGGTAAAGTAGTTGTTTTTGGAGGAGATTTTCGGCAAGTTTTGCCTGTTGTGCCTAAGAAATCTCAGAAAGAAGCAGTGGAAGCAAGTTTAGTTTCTTCTCATTTATGGAAATACTTTACGCGTATTAGGCTAAGTGAGAACATGCGTGCACGGTCAGACCCATTGTTCTCTGATTTCTTGCTGGCTCTTGGAAATGGTGAGCTCCAGGAAACAGAAACTGGAAACATCCAAATCCCTGAAGAGCTCCTTATCCCATTTGAAGAAGAAGGTATTTCCTTGCCACACCTTATTAAAGAGGTGTTCCCAGAGCTGTCAAAAGGTCACTTCAGCCCAGAAATTTTCACTGATCACGCTATACTAACACCTCTTAATGATGATGTTGATGAAATCAACAACCTCCTTATTGAAAATCACCCCGGTGAAGCAGCAGTGTATAAAAGCTTTGATTCTTTGATTGATGATAGTTTCAACATCTACACAACTGAGTTTTTAAATACTTTATGCCCTGGAGGAATGAGCCCACACTCCTTGGTTCTGAAATAGAACTGTCCTGTAATTTTGCTTCGGAACATAGCTCCAGCTTCAGGCCTATGTAATGGGACTCGACTCATTTGTAAAGCATTCTACCCAAATGTTATCCTATGTATGATCACAACAGGCCATCATTCAGGCGAAATGGTCTTTTTACCACGTGCTAACCTAAGGCCTTCCTCTTCCAGCCATTACCCATTCAAGTTCGAACGGATACAATTCCCAATTAAGCCGAGCTTTGCCATGACCATAAACAAAGATCAAGGCCAAACTCTGAAGAAGGTTGGGATTTATTTACGGCGTCCTTGTTTTTCTCATGGCCAGCTTTATGTTGGGCTATCTAGAGCACGGAAATCAAGCCAAGTAAGAGTGCTAAGTAAGCTTGTTAATGAAAAACAAGATGCAGATGGTGTAAGGAATGTTGTGTCTTTTGATATACTATACAAGGCTGGGATCATATCTGAAAAATCTTCAAAGGTCAGTTTTCCAGGACAATTCCTAACTATTTATGCTTAATGTACACTTATGCTTAAGCAGTCACACATAGCATAATACTTATCTACTTGAATGCAGGCTCTAACAAATGATTTATGAGTTAATGCTGCAGCTTTACAACAGTATATTTCCAACAAAGATACAGTGAGGTGAGTTTTAAAGGGTCACTCAATTAATATCTTCAATGTGCATTTTCTTATGGTTCCTAAATATGATTAAGCTTCTGATGCAGGGTTTTTCTACCAAAGGGGCAATCTGGATACATTTCTTCTCCCAGCCTTTTGTACTTCCTGCAGTAGCATTACCAAAATGCACTAAACCTCAAATTACTTGTAGGAAGAATTGTTGGAAGGTATATTTAGACTTTCATGTTGAAAATTTTGTAATGTGAGATTATGTCAGTGGTAATTGCTTATCCAGCTCTATTTATAAAGTCCATTTCATATGCTTTTACATAAATATATTTCCAATTTAAACTTGAAATTGTTGATTGTTAAGTGTTAGTGTGTTACAGCTTATAAAATTTGGATATATAAAGTTAACACTTCAGAAAAACTTAGACAGTATCAGACAAAGAGGCATGCTAAAAGCAAAGCTCTTTGGCTACCAGCACAAACATAGTCCAGCTTAATGAAACCATTATAAGCAATGTCTATGGCATGTAGTCCAGCAAAGTAAAGCAGATTAGAACCCATTGAAACAGCCTAGGCTATTCAAACGTGTGTAAATGTTACAATACCATTAACCATATGAACGTAATATTGAATTTTCAAAGGAGGGTTGCCAAAGGGTCTATTGGCATAATCAAATATTATTTTATTTTACCTATTTAGAACTACTTATAAAATCTATTTTGATTGCCTGTATAGAATTTTGTTCTTAGTTTTAAGGTTGGGATTATTGATTGTTCAGTGTTACATGCTGTATTAGAAACTTAAAAATGAGAAGTTAATTAAATAATTAGATCCAGATAACATTGATAAAGAGGCCTCCTAAGAGCAAGTCTATTTATAAGCAGTATAAAAACAGCCCACACAATATTGCAAAAAAATATATAAAAAAAGTATAGAATTTGCTCCCAACAAATAAAGGTGAACACAATTGTAACAAAAAAGAAGAGATTCCAGCTCCCAATGTTCAATAATAAAACAGGTTTCACAGGTGCTTATAAATCACAGAAAAAGCTATGCTTACAACTTCTGAAAAAAAAATATAAATAAATAAGGTTGTAATGGGAAGCAAGCAGATGATAGCAACTAATAATTCCTTATCTCAATGCACATTAGTTTAGTAGCTACCAATTAATGCTTAAATCACTAGAATAGATGTGCTTATTCCTATCACAAGAAAAAGCACAGTCCAATCGTCCTACTTCTTTTATTTTACCTAATTATCACTTCCCTAGGTCTACAAAATATAGACCCATTGTTTTACCTGCTGGTTAATAGTCATTGCTTGGCTATATATTTGGGTATATACAAAGCACTCTCTCACTACTATCACCTGCATTCTCTGGAGAAAAGAAGAAATAAGGGAAAATTACTGAGGAACTCCATTGAAGGTACTTCTTTACCTCTTCATTTAGAATTTAATGCTTACCTGAATTCTTTTATTATGCTAGCATAAGTTTGGTATAATATAGTAATTATTTTGCATATTTTGAGCATTGCATTTATGAAGCAGTTGCTTGATTATATGCCACATCTTTACTATTATGCATACATTAAGAGAAGAATATAAGGTTATAACCACCACAAGTCCACAATGATAAATAGATAATCAGCACAAAAGAAATAGGAAGAATAAATGACCATTTCAGTAGTAAAATAAATACTCCATCATAATATGAACTTATTTGACTTAATTAATATGGTCTTGTACTTTTGAACATTGCAGTCTATGTAGTCTCCAAATGAAATTAAATATTCCTCTACTGATTCTTATTTCATAAGAATCACACCCTTAAACTGTAATTTCAATGGTGCTTAAATTATAAATATGTAATTTTTTGTACTCATGTCCTGTTACTCCTACTAAGGCATTAATACTGTACAATGTGTTCTTTTAGAGTATGCTCAGGGTTAATCAGTTAGGACCTAATACCATTTATTATTGTCAGGTAAATAAAACAAACAGTACTTACTTAGATAGCAACATGTTAATTCATATAATCAACTAATCTTATGCTATAGTTCCTTGCAGAAAGATTTAGACTTAGGAAAAATTTGTCTATTCTTGATTACTTACAAGCCTAAACTAATAATATATTCAACACAATGTGTAGATGAAGCCTGAATATACTCCCATTGGCAATTTGACTCCACAAACTAAGGCATACAAAGTTCGGGCAAGAGTAATTGAGAAGGCATAACCAAAGCTATCTCCTAACAAAACTCTGTATCAATGGCTAAAGCTAGAGGACAGTGAGGTTTGTTGCAAATACTGCTATTTTATTTTGGGTTAGAATTCTGTACAAGTTGTTTATAAGACAACCCAAACTGGATTTAATTATTTTTGTTATTCTTATTGCTTAAGGGAAATCACATTCGTGGAACTTTGTTTGAAAATGAAGTTCATAGCTTCAAGGGAATTCTTGAGCTAGGCAGGGAGTATGAAATTGCAAATGCTCCACTAAGAGCTATTGATGAGAAATGGAAAACAAGGGAAGATGACTGCCAGATGACCTTTGGAGGGAACACATCTATCCAGCCCCTTCAATCTAAAGCAGGACCTGTGCTTCCTAAGTACACTCCAATTGCTTCTATTCCGCGCACCAGCCCTAAGAGTGAACGCTTCGGTATCTATTTAACTGCTTCTGCTTAAGTGCTACTGCTTAAGTAATTTTATATACTATTTCCCTGCTACCCTTACTTTAATTTGTTGCTTGCAGATGTCATTGGAGTAATTCTATACATGGAGCAAGTTAGGCAGGTCAAGACTGCATCAGGGGCTTCAATGGATGTTCGTGAGGTTGTGATCGCTGATGACAGGTATATTCTTACACATAGATATCTAATTACTAACACACATTCCTCATTAGTTGACCCAATTGAAATGGTAGTCTATAGTATAATACTTGAACAACCTATTGTTTTGAACATGCTTATTTTGCTCCATTTAGATCCAAAGCATAAATATTATTAAAAGTGTGGATTTGAAAAGCAAAATGCTTCGCTTATATAATTCGTACATGCAAATATTATTAAAAGTGTGGATTTGGAAATCGAAATAAATTTACAAAACTCTCATGCAAATGTGGTTTTCACTATTTATGCTCACACTTTTTTGCTTCAATAAACCCCTAATTTAACAATTAACATGCAGTATATATCAACCTCTAATACTTTCTCTTTGGGGAGGGCTTGCTATTGATGGCTGCGAAAAATTAGCTGCTTGGGCATCAATCCCACTCATTGTTGGTTTTACCTACATGCGCCCAACAGCTCACAAGGGTAAGAGGTTCTACTGCACTTCTATTTTTTAGGGAAACACTAAATAGGTTCCTATGATAACACTTCAGAAAATTCCTGAAACCACAGGCTTCTCACTATCATCCTCTATGTCTGCATCAATCATACTTGGGCCTTCAGGAGAGACAGCAGAACATCTCAAGAAATGGTAAGCCACTGTATATATATATAACTAACATTTACAACATTCATTTAGCTATAATACTTACTTAGTATCTGTTCTCAACAGGAGTAGGGACAAAAAACCTTACATAAATGAGCTAATGGCTAAAGTTCTGCTAATCCGTGAACCACCTGTGGAGAGAATGATAACTACTATTGGTGAACTTGAACTGAAAAAGGTTTTGGTTCACAAACATTACACTTGTGACTTGTATTTTCTACTCTAATCTATAGAATTTGCATTATTGAACTTGATATTTATCACTGCAGCTTACTGATACAATGCAAGAAGAACGCATATGGCTCAAAGCAAAAATCCCTGAACCTGATGTAAGCAAAATCATTGCCTACATAGGCTGCGACAACTGTGGCCGCCGTTGTGAAGAACTGGCTGGTGAGACCTTTAAGTGTTCCAGCTGCCCAAACAAAGTCTGCACAGCCACTGCTAGGTAGCTATATTCTTGTGATGACAATAACAAGCACATGTCTTAATTAAAAGCTAACTATAATATTGTTTCATGCAGGGTGAACTACACCTTCACCATAACTGATGGAACAGGGGAATTGAAGCTCACAGCTTTTGGAGCAGAGTGTGAGAAGCTCTTTGGCATGAAACTTGCTGACATATACAGCAAAGTAATTGCTGTAAGTAACTCATACACCTAAGACTTACAAGCCTAATACATAACAAGCTATGAACTTACTAAAATCTACTACCTTGCTAGGAACACCGGGATGGCTTTGATGAAGCAGCAGCTAGACTGTCCACTATGGAGGCTTACTTTTGTGTTGGACCAACAAACATGTTGAGCAGGGTGGGAGCTCTAAGGTGGGATCTCAAGTCTGTCTCAATGGAGTAACTAGATGGAGGTTTGCTTAGCAAGC